AAGGGACTTGTATCGCTGAGGGTCCTCGGAAAGAATTTTTACGGGAAATTATCAAACAAGCAGATACGTAACAATATGCAGTTCAGGAGTTAGTATTCCCATGTATACAACGTTTTTCTAATCTTGTTTAAGACCTGACTATTTTAATGATGTTCTTTGAAACTATCAACTGTAAAAAATTTCAGGCCATGTTTGATTATTAGCACTAACTAAAGTTGAAAGCCGATGACGTCTAAATTAAAGTTGGCATTGTGCATGTCCAAACGTTTGTAGATAAAACAACAATATGGAAATCGCTTCTTCTTTATCGAATATATACATTCACTTTAAATCACTGTAGAAAGTACAATATAAAAAAAATTTCAAGGTTTTCAGGTGAAGAAGGTAATGAATTTAATGTTAAACCGATGGATCATACAAAAGAAAAACAACTCTTTGTATCCAATCGCTAAGTTTTTTCTTTTCACAACACAAGTTCTTTTTCTTTTCAAGATTACAAGTTTAAAATCATGTCCCATTTAAAAAAAAACAAACTTTATTTATCTACAAAAATAAACAAAAAACTTGGTCACTCTGAAAGTTCCGGATGATCAAACATACTTTTGGGTAGACATTTTTCTTCTACATAAAATGAAGTTTTTATTTGATTCTACAGAAGTATAGTTGCAATACATTCTTTTGATTTATTTTTTTAGTTATAAACATGAAAACTGCGTTATTAGAGGTCAAGATTATCATCCTTAAATTTGTTGGACTGCGCATGTCTTGGTCTTGAGATGAATTGCGTTTCAAACTCTAAGCCTTTTATGAAGAAGGTCTCAACTTATGGAGTTTAAAACATCGTTCATCTCAAGTAGTAGTAGTACATAAGAAATTTCAACCTAATTAAATCAACATAAAGGTTTTGGGTGTTTTTGTTTTTGGAGGTGGTGAAGATTATCACAAGCTACTTTTTTAAAACAAAAACTGCTTTCTAGATTTGGTTAAAAATGGCGTTCTTCAACTTGTTCGATGAATTTGAATTTTCTTAAAACTTTAGTAACTTACCAACCGGATGCTGCATTGATCAAAAACACTAAACTGGCTTTCTACTAAAAGTTAGGTTTGATATGCGTCTACATTTATTTTGTTTGTAAAACTTATTTATTGTTGACCACATTTTAAGGTATTCAAAATTTGCAGGATGTAACAAACAAATAACTGAATGTTTTGTGTCAATTTTAAGTGGATTTACTCAGGTGAAAGTAGGAGTAGAAGTATAAATCCCAGGAAGGACATAACATGTGTGTAAGTAGGAGTAGAAGTGTAAATCCCAGGAAGGACATAGCATGTGTGTAAGTAGGAGTAGAAGTGTAAATCCCAGGAAGGACATAACATGTGTGTACCTTTATGTTTTTAACTAGAAATATGTCCCTTTCTTCCGCCACATGTTATAAACATAAGAATATGTGGTGTTCTTTTCACTCAGTTTTCTTGTGATAAACTGGCGTTTAACGTATTTCCTTTCTTCAGCTCTGTATAATTGCTTGAAAAACCTTGTGTTTCAATGTTGACGATGTCTTTCCAACGTTCCATGTAGGATTTTAGGTACGAATCGCCATCTCTGTTGATATGAGTAAATATAGCCCCTTCTCTTTCAACCAAAACTGAATCTGGGTCGTCAATAAAAGAGTATTCGTTCTCGATATAGTGATGCTTCAGCCTGACTTTCTTGGCCAGTATTCCTGTGACGTACACGTCATCTATCCAAAAGAACGGCATGAATTTGGATATGTGATGAAGAATTTTAGCCACTTTCATAGTCATAATGTAGGCGGCACCGGCACAGTAAGAAGGGTAATACATATGAGCATACTCTTTTTCACTCACACACCATTTTGATGTATTATTACGCATCACCAGAGGGTCTTCCCACACCCTACAAATAAGCCTATTTGTTACCGTGGTGTTAAATTTTATCTGGTCTAGAAAATTTGATAACCGAAAAATATTGATGATTATATCATCATCAGACTTAATTACAAAGTTTGCAAACGAACAATGGCTGATAACCCACTGTAGTCCTCTGAGGTGTTTGTAAGTGAGATTTTTATACGTATCAACGAAAGAAAACTGTATGATATCACCATTGGCTTTTTTCTCCAATTCTAAAATATCCTGAAGTGGTGTATGTTGGGTACGTCCAATCATGAAGAATGTGGGAATTTTCATTTTCTGGCCTAGTTCTTTACTGCCGTAACTACGTCGAATTGCTTGTCGAAGAACAAAGTTACTAGGAGCAGAGTGAACAAATATAACACCTCGTAATTTTGGGCCTATATTACGGCATTGATTTTCTAGGTTTTCGTCTGATTGACTACCAGATATGTCTTGCACACACCTTCTCAAAGAATGTGAAACTGGCACAAAGGACCACCAAAAGGTTGTTGACCACAAGTAGACTACAAACCCAATGCAGAAAATTAAAAATATCCATTTAAGTCTTCTTATTGAGTAAGTTATCAGCATTCTTCGATAATTGTGAAAATCCCTAAAACCTGAAACAATAACACACACAAAAAAGTTCCTAAGTTTCACGTTTATTTATGTTGCTATTATATACTTATATTTTATTACCCTCGCAGAGCGAGGGTATTGCAATTGGGTCCATGTGTGTGTCTGTCTGTCTGTCTGTTTCTGCACGCGTGTCTAAAAAAAAAGTAAGAACCCGATGTACACAAAAATTTAACACAAGATGGGAAGTAAGTATGGGACAGTCCTCCCCAAACTTGGTTCGGATCCTAATCTAGATCCGGATTCTGGATCACGTTGAAGCATTTTTTTTATAACGGGGAGATAGAGCATTTTCGCGGTTTTCGGTTAATAACTCTGTAAAGTGTGATAGGATTTCTATTGACTTTCGCCCGGCATGGCCAGGTGGTTAAGGCACTCGACTCGCAATCTGAGGGTCGCGGGTTCGAATCCCTGTCACACCAAATCAGAAATTAACCCATTTTCGTATTCCGTCAAAGATAAAGAAGAAAAGAACCACCTAACAAGACAGGGCCCGGCATGGCCAGGTGGTTAGGGCGCTCGA